CACTCCGCTTCCAGCATTTCTCACAGCGAGTGTCATGGCGGACGCCCAAATCCACTAATAATAATACTGTTTTTGCGTCACGGAATGTATTTTTAAGAGTTTTTTAGGCGAGAATGTACTTGTTTAGACTTCAAATACGGTTTGTTAATAAAGATAACGTCTATTTGAAAATTTGCTTCGACGTTTTCTGAGACATGAGCTCCAGGGCATCAGCGCTCATGAACCCGCCGAGAGCAGCCTCGCCCAGATCTGCTGGAAATCACCGCTGCCTCTGATGCCTTTATAGTGGTTAAACATGAGATATAATTTGTTTTGGGTAAATCTGATGGGCAGTCTTTGGTCTCATTAATCTATTATTTGCTCCAGAGCAAATAGTTTCGGCTGAAGGCAATATCTCATCACGTTATATTATATGTAACTTCAATGCTGTAAATTAGAACATGGCTTTTATGATGGCTGTTGTTGTTGTTTATTATTCAATAAATAATATTTTATATACATAGTAGTATTTAGTATTGGGAAACAGTGCGTGTGTTTGTATTCTGCCATTAGATGGTGACAAGAGACTGTTTTACGAGTCAGCATTTAAGACTTTTATATTGAAAGAGACTAAAATGGAAGTTATTTTTACTTTTAATAACAGCTTGTAAGATGCAGTTAACAAATGCAGTGAGCAGCGCTGTCATCGGAAATCACCCTTAACAGGTGAAAGATAGAACAACAAAGATATCGCTTTCCTCAGCGGACATTCAAACGAATGTTTTATTGTGAATATGAGATTGAGCTGAAGAATGAATGTTGTGTCAGATGCAGGGAATCACACTCGTGCAGTCCATCTCTCTCTCACAATACTCTACACAATACAGTGAGCTTTTAATGAAGCAGCTCCCATGATCAAAGCAAACAAAAACAACCATTTTGTGTTGGAATTAGGGTTGGGCGATGTCTACCAAATTGGCATCGGACGATGTCTACAGTGAAACATCGTGATGGACGATGACATCGGGGGGCGAGGTTAGGGGTGTGCCCGAAGCATGAAACAAATAACGGGTTAAGGGCCTTTCACACAGGATGCGGAAAGCGCTGCGCTGGCCGCTGGGTTCAGCGCAGCCCTTCAGATACAAAGCGATTTGCGCTAAACTGGCCAGAGCAAAGTAGGCGGAGTTTTCAAAACTTTTAGCGGGAGTTCTATAGGTCTAGTAACAAAGAGTGAAAAATTTAAGGGGGTCTGAATACTTTCCGTACCCACTGTATATTCATTTTTTTAAATACATTAATAGCCATTTTGTTTTGGAATCTCCTAGGCATGATCAAAGCAAACAAAAACAACCATTTTGTGTTGCCCTGCTAGTAAGAAGAAGAAAGAGAGCAGCAAGGAAAAAGAGGCTGTGGGTGCATGAAACTCTCAGGTCGAAGGCTTGCGAAGGAGCTTTGTTTGGATGCCCCGTTTCTATTTCTATAGCGGGTAAACGTCACAGAGCGCAGCGGCAAAAGTTGAACTATTTTGAACTTTGACCGTGGCACGCGCGTAAGCTCGCCGACGGTGTGCTCTGCTGCGCGTGCGCTTTGGTCGGCGCAGCAACAAACCGCCCTTGCGCGGCGCAAGCCATTGAAATGAATGGGTTTCATAGCGTAGCGTAGTGCTTTCCGCGTCCGGTGTGAAAGGCCCTTTATACGGAGCCACTAAAAGGTTAGCCGCTTGCTAGCGGTAGCCTGTTGCATTACAGTCCATGAAAGTTCACTTACCACACAAAGTAAGGAGAAATGTCTGATAGGACGATGGCGAATGATTTGCAGATCCTGAGCACCAATGACAAACATCTAATCTTGTCAAATGTGTGGTAAGTACTGCCGCTCCATAGTATAGAGTCCTTGTGATTGCGAATCTCAAAAGTGAAAGTGAAAGTAAAATGAGAGCGCGCAATCTAAAGCGGTTTCAATAGCGGCTCCCTGATGCCCGCAATTTATATACAGTCGCCTATACTTCCCCAACGATATCATTGCGAGAATTATGGGAGGATATAATTTATCCTCCCATCTCATAGGCTATTTATTCCCTTTAGGGTTTCCGTAGTACACTTCATTTCCTTACCGAACACGGAACTGGGATGCGGTGGATTGCGGGAGAGGGGGTGGGGTGGGGGTTCACGATGTCAGCTTAACATTGTGATGTCTGTCAGCCATCGGCAATGGACGATGGCATCGTTTATCGGCCCAACCCTAGTTGGAATCTCCTTGGCACAAAACAAAACGAAACGAAACGAAACAAAACAAAACATTTTTCCTAAGCATTACTATTCCTAATGCATGAGGCCAATTCAGTGCATGAGAATACTGTAAAAGAGAGAATTAATGATATATATATATAGTAGACTCCAGCATTTAGCTCCATTTCCCAATTCTTACAAGCATTTTACTGAAAGCTGGAATCTAATATTCACACGTCAGATAGTATTTGCTCTGTTTACTCATAACAAATGATGTTTTATTTACGCATAACAAATTATGTTATGTTTCTCTGAAGGATAGAAGAGAGAGGGGGAATGTAACTGCTGGTGCCATGACCCAGAGTTGAAGAATATAAATAGAGACAGAAAGAGGGAGGAAAAAACAACACTAAGAAGTGCAAGTCTAATTAGGGTCTTGTTTTAGTTGCCATCTCTCTGATAACACAGAAAGCTTCCTGAGGCATTATACTTGCTGCAAACACTGACCTACATTCAGTTGTACAACATATCTCCCTCCCCAGGGAGGCTTTCAGAAGTTGTTTATGCTGATCCAGAGTCAGTCGCTACAAAAAGGTGAGAACTGAGATAATTTTCATTTCATACACTGAGATACTCAGTTGTACACAGGAAAAAATAAAATTAAAATAAAAGCAAAATAAAACAAAGATAAATAAAATAAAATATGAAGTAAAAATAAATTCTTTGTCTTTTTTCATCAAAAGTTTATAAATTGCTCCACTTCTGAAACAATTTTCCTTTTCTAGTCCTTTTATTTTTTAACTCCTCCCTTCCAACTTCCACATTTCATAATCCAGTCAGTCCCTGATAAATAAAATCTATAATAAAAATAGTTTAAATAAAATAAATAATAAAATAAAATACTTATATTTATTTCACCTGGAAATAATTCTGCATTTCCCTTTTAAGACACTTCCTGTCAGAGATATGATGCAGTTTTCAATAATGTATCATTTAAATAATATATTAAATAATAATATAATATTTATAAAACATAAATAATAATATTTAGTAAATCTATTATTTAAATTCAATATATTAGCTATTTTATAATTATAATTTAGAATTATTATTTTATAATTGTAAAATAATGTATATTATATAAATAATCTGTTTATTTTGAGATATCAACTGCTGTTGGATAGCACTAATGATTATAATGTTTGAAAGTAAATCGAATGACAATTCATATTAACCCTGCAATAACATAAATAACGCCATCACTGATGTTGCAACTTTGAACAATCAGTCATTGTTATAAAATGACAACACAGTTCATAAACTCAGCTACATGGACATAATTTAGTCGTTCACCTGAGCAGCAATTTTGAACTCCACTTCCTTAAATAAACACACCCCTCCATTTTATAAATGCTTTAAGCTCGTTATGTTTAATAATTCATGCCTCAGAGGAGGCCCGTTCCCGCAGTGCAGCGCAGCACGTCCGTCTCCATTCCAGGGTCACAGAGACAATGACATATTTATCCAATAACACTGCGGTTACAGTCACAAATTTGCTCCGATTTTTGTTATTTGTCGTCTGAAGGCAAAGAAAGAGTTCTGCGTGCGCTGAAGAACTCGTGGACGTATTGTTATGATGCTCCCTTCATGAAAAGATGAGCAGCAAGTGCTTCGGCCAGAAGCTTTGTGTGTGAATACAGAAAACGAAGGTTAAAGTGCTGATGCCAATGCTTTTCTACACTCAAACCCCAAAAACAAACAAACGAAACTGCAGGAGGAGACGGAGCAGCACAAATATGACAAGCAAAATAACAAAACAAATCCAATCAGCTCGGGTATGTAAATATGGGAACAGAAACAACTAAAAACTATTTACTAACAATATGTTTGTCTGTCTGTCTAATTGTTTATCTGTTTGTACATTTATCTATCTGCTCACCTGTCTATCTGTTTATCTTTCTGTCCATCTGTTTGTTTTTGTGTATGTTCATTTATCTATATATCAGTTGTTTGTTTGTTTATTTGCTCATTTATGTTACGCCCATCTGTCTGTCTATTTATCGTTGTTTCTTTATCTTTATCATTTGTTTTTCTGCCTATCTGTTTATTTATCTGTATTCATTTGTTTGTTTATCTATTTGTTCATTTATCTATCACCACCCGTCTGTCTGTTCGTTTATCTATCATTTGTCTATTTTTCTATCTGTTTGTTCATCTATCAATCTTTTTATCTTTTTTATCTATCTGCTAATTTTATTTATATATCATCATTTGTCCATTCTTTTATCTATTTATTTTTCTCTCTGTTTATCTATCAATTTATCTATATATCAATTTGTTTATTTATTTGTTCATTTCTTCTATTGCCCACCTGTCTGTCCGTCCGTCCGTCCGTCCGTCTATCTATCTATCTATCTATCTATCTATCTATCTATCTGTCTGTCTGTCTATCTATCTATCTGTCTATCTGCCTAGCTGACTGTCTGTCTGTCTGTCTGTCTGTCTATCTATCTATCTTGTTTAGGTATTCAGTAAGTGTAAAGGTTTTTATAATAAATTAAGACATTTTAGGTTGTTTGCATTTTCGTTTATCTATGGCATAACTCAAGATTGTGGTATTTGCATCTAAACTGCATCTAAACAACAGAACGTTCTGCCTGACCCAGCATTACGGCATGGTGCTACAACTCAGCTCAGTTGGTCAGAACGTCAGTCTCAGCTACACACACATCCAGCCACATGGACAAAGACACATTGCATCCAATAAAGCCATGGAGCGCCACTTGAACTCACCAGAGAAGAAGTTCTTAGCACGTAGATAACTGACACTCAGCCGCAGGATGGAGAGTTTGTCCAGGCTGCTCGTGACATCCTCTGGAAATGGAAGGAGACTGGCCAACCGGACCAACTCGGAATTTAACCGATCTCGATGACGTTTGGATGGGTTAGACTTCACCCCTTCAGCTGGAGCCTGCTTCACCCTGAGCACAAGAGCACACTTCATAAAAAAAAAACACTCCTCAAGATCACATTCAACAGTGTTTTTCACATGCAAGGTGTGTTTGGACAGAATCACGGACGGAATGAAAATACAGAAGCCACAATCAAAAGTGTCCCATTCATTTGCACAGGCTTCTGTTGTTGTTTTTTGCATATTATTACCACGTTACTAATTTTGCATATTGTTGTGTCTGTGCTGTTCTTGGTTATACTAATAGATTTCAGTGTTTGATTTTAAGGAAATGTGTGTGTACCTTTGTACAATAAACACATTAGGGTCACCACCCTAACGTAAAATCTGAGCCCTGACACACACACACACACACACACACACACACACACACACACACACACACACACAGACACAATTAATCTGTTACTGTAAATATGAATATGAGGTTTTATTATAAAAAAAGATATCTCTATAATTCAAAGATATCATTAAAAAAAGGGAAAATTGTAAGGAAACAATCACTACAGACAGTAAAATGACTTTAGACAAATGCAGCTGATTGAAATATTATAGATAAAATATAATGAAAAATATTTTAAAAATACAAAACAAATTTTATGTGCAATTATGTTATCAAAGAGAATAAAATAAGTTCTTAATGGTTTATGTAAAGATATAAGCTTATGATACGTATTTGGTCTACACTTAGGTGGCAGAATTATATATTATATATTAGGTATTTTATTACAATTATAATTAAAAATATTAATTTCATTATTAGAAATATAAATTCTAGGCTAAATCTAGTAAGCTTATATTTATAAAATCATTATGTTCTAACAGACATGTAAATTATAATTTTACACCAAATATCAATTCACTACACTGTCTAAATAATAATAAAAAATGTAAATACAATATTATGCAAAATAAAATATTTCAGCTTTATAATTATAAAATAATATAATAAAATAAATTATATTATAAATTACACAACACATAATATACAATAAAATATTTTCCCAGATTTGATCTGATTTGCTAATTAAATTTTCGGGAATAGAATAGTTTAGAATAAAATAGAATATAATAATTTTTAGTTATTGAATAGTTGATAATTAGTTATTGAATAGTTGATAGTTGATATTATACTATAATAAATGAATAGTTTCATTTTACCAAAAACGGAAATGAAAAGGACAAAACACCTTATACAAGTTACATGAAAACTGTGATATGGTATTACGTAGCAAAACAAATATTGCAGCACTGGATTTTAATACTAATACCAGTTATGCTTTGATTATCTTAAATAAAATAATTAAATATAATAATAACAAATATTTACTGTAGACAGATGGGCCTAATAGAACAGACTACACATGCGATTTGGGTCGTTTCTGTACCGTGTTGAGTTTTTGAGTCAGAAATAGCAACGAAAACAAAGTATCAATTAAAAAAAACTGATAATAGTCAATCTATACATTCATAACACACACAAACACACATTTATTATAATAACTTACGTTCTTTGCACTGGTTTTCTTCTTTTTCGTCCTGCATACATGTTTAAGGCGTCTGGACAGTCCAACTCTGAAGCTGGAATGACTTCAACCCACAATTTACAACAGATAAAATCTCGACCTGTCTACTTAAACAAAAAACTGTAAACAAGAAAAATCTGATTTCCTGTACAGGTCATGGGTGTAAAAAATTCCAAAATCAAAATTCAAAACAAGTATTATAATAATTATTGTATAAAATGTGCACCCAGAATCCCTACTGCCCCAAATTGCATTTAATATCAGTCTAATAAACTTAAAACGCCAAAATAGAGATGGGAAAAAAGTGTAATTCCTCTTCAAATACACTTAAGCATTCATATGAGAAGTGACAGCAGGTCTTCTTCATCATATTAGTCATCCTCAGTGCTGCTGAGTCTGTATAAACCGCCATCCACAGTCATATGCTCGGATAAAACAATACATTTTAATCTATATTTAGACAGAACGGGCAAAATAAACCAACTCCACTGTCATAATTTGTTCCAGTTTCGTGTCTAATTCATTTTCGTCCGAGCTGCTCCACTAAATCCCCCAACTGCGCGCACCCGACATCAGTTTGCAGGGGCACGCGCATTTGGTTGACCTGGCAACCGGCACAGATTAGCGCAAGAGCGCGCGCAGAGCATCAGAGGCCACGGTTTAAAGGCAAAAGGGAAAAATCTCCTAGGATACAGGACGTCAGGATTTACGTCTCCTGTGATTGGTCAACGCGCTTCAAAATTACGATTACTCGCTTATATATAATTAATAAAATACCAATTAATATTAATAACGAAACGTGACGGGCAGAGAACTTGCAGAAAAGCAGACGCGGACGTTGGCCGCGACGAATCATAGTATGGGGAATAATTAGATTATGAATACTAATGAGATTATAATGCTGGCGAGTCTGATTAATATTAATTAGACTTATAGACACTTCTAGCCAATCAGGGAGAAGAGAACCTCACAGGTGTTTTTTTTTTTAAAATTACCTTACCTCTATAAACAAATACAATAAACATCCAAAGAAAATATAAAATACAATTATACAATAAATCATACTAAATACTTTTAAGAACAAATCGATATACATACATAAAAAAAAAATCGCAATTATTCATAACACGTATGCAATTTATTTAAATCTAAACGTTTTAAAATAAGATTTCAAATTCTATTTTTAATGGGATGAAAAAACATCACTATTTAATAGTTTTATTGCCATAAAACTCATACGTTGGCAACACGGTGAAATCCCGGGTTAATTCCTTTTGCAAACTCCTGTTATGATGCATCATTTCCTGCGCTTTCGGAAGGTTTTTATAAGGCTGTTCGGCATTTATTGACTATAATGACGTTATTATATAATACTTGTTTATGGACCACAGCAAAATCCCTTTAAATGCATGCAAGCTACTGGCTCTTCCATACACATTGCACACATCTGTTTCATACGCATGCATTAAAAGGGCAGTAATGAATAAAAGATGATTCGAAAATGATTGCATATCTCCCCAATTTGGTTCTAGGACACTCTATAAAACAGTGGGCGACCACATTCGTGGAGTTACAAGAAAACCCATATGCAATAATGAATAAAAGATGATTCGAAAATGATTGCATATCTCCCCAATTTGGTTCTAGGACACTATAAAACAGTGGGCGACCACATTCGTGGAGTTACAAGAAAACCCATATGCAGCGTTTATTTCCTTCCTTTTTTTGCCAACTGAACACGGCGGAAAAACTCATTTCAACTTACCTTCCTAAAAGTTTCACTTTACACTAGTAGTACAGTAGGCTATATATACCGCTGAAATAGTGTATACTGGCACACATTCAAAATATATACATTAGCGCCCCCATGTGGTAAACACATGTGAAAAAATTAACTTAAATGATTTTAGCAAATGGCTGCAATATAACAAAGAGTGAAAAATTTAAGGGGGTCTGAATACTTTCCGTACCCACTGTATTCATCCATCCATCCATCCGCATTTACACTGCCGTCCAGTAAAATAACCAGCTACAGCCATTGAGTCATCGACCCCCTTTTAATATTATAAAGATATCAATGAGGCACAACAAAAATGAATCATTTGATAATACACATACAAAACAAACGAAAGCTATATTTTATATATAGATGTATATATATATATATATATATATAATATAGATGTGTGTGTATAGCCTGTATTTGTGGGACATCCATTTACGCATACAGATTTTACAGTTGTGCGGAACAATGTACAAAATAACATACAGATAACACGTATAAGCATTTGCAATGCTGGGTGCACAAGCAAAGAAACAAACATACAATGATGCAACAAATAAACAAAGATACTGCATTTAGAGAGGCCTCACAAACATGACTTTATGCAAGAAACGGGCACCTGAAGTGCTATTATTTCTTCCTAAAGGATTCGTAGTTTAGTGGTGAAGGGGAGGACGTCCTAACAAGCGTGCATGAACGTTTTTTTGGCACTGGGGGATTTCAATGCTGTTAGTGAGGTCAATGCATCCTGTACTGGTGCTTCATCCACTACTAACCTGCTTTATTTAATGGCACAGGAAAAGAAAGGGTCATTTTCTGGACCGCTAAACCTTGTCTAGTCAAAAATAACTCATATTCAGGCACCTTAACGAAGTCATGAACATGAAACTGTCTAATACAGTTTTCTAAGTAGATATACAGGATTCAAGCGACTAGTAATCTGTCTATCATCACTGAAAACAAAATTTCAGTTTAAAAATGTCTGATATTTAATACAGTGGTTCTCAACTGGTGGGTCGAAGCCCAAAAATCGGGCTGCACGTCTGTTTTGACTGGAAAAATATGACCCAGATACCACAATGCGTTTCAAACAGCAACTTATTTGCTGTAGAAAAAATAATATTATTTTAGTTATTCCATTTCTATTTCATATTAAACATTATTATAACATCTTATTAAATTAAGGGCATTTAAGCAAGCAAAGCAAAACAAAAAATACGTTTTTTTGTTAAAAATTGTGCGTCATTTTCTATTTCACACAAAGTGTGAAAAATTAATTGCAAGTATTGAAGAAACATAAAATGCCAGCTATGAAATTAGCAAAACAAAGGTGCTATTTTATTCCAAAAATGTTTAAATGATAATTCCCAACACATAATGCTATCAACATGTATTGAAAATTTGTACAATGAACATCACTGTAAAATCTGAGTCCTGAAGCAAAACCATTTGAGAACCACTGATTTAATATACAGCACTGTGGACGGAGCTACCCAGCGCAAAAAGAGCTTTAATTGCCTGGTTAAGACATGGCGTACTAGATATTTTAAAGCATGAAAATGAACATCAGAGCAAATCAAAACACAGCGCTATTATTTGTGCGTAATCAATCTGTCAGCAGATAAATGAACCAATGATCATCCATTAACCAATCATCTAGCGATTTCCTACCCTCCTCTCTTAACCAGCAGACGTCTGGCAATAAAACACACAACACTTATTTACATCACCTCAAAGCCAACAACTCCTTTAGCTTTCAGTACAAACGAAACCAAAAGGGAAAAAAAAGCAAATCTCAGAAAACCAAAGCTGTTTTAAGGCACTTCAGAAGACAAGACGGGCAGAATGTGTGTCCTGTAACTCTTGAACTGTGAGGCTATGTACAACACTTGGCAAACTAGCATAATCTATTCCGTCCATGCCAACAACAACCTAAAAACATTGCTTCTCAGATTCAATTATAGCTGCCATTTCAATTCCTTTCCTCCTCTGCAAGCCACAATAATTTCATCCAAAGAGTGAAAACGGGAGGGAATCAAAAAAGCGAAATATCCTTTGGGCAGAAAGAAATTAAGGCACACAGCGTTCCCATTTCAGATGATGAAAGGAGTTTGAGGGCTCTATATATTCGCTGTCATTATCACATCATACTTTCTGTTCTTACTGCAGGGAGAAAGAACAAATCTCAAGAAGCAACAGCAGTCGAAAGCATACGTTTCTACAAAATAGGCTAAGGCTAAACTGTTTTCAGAAAGTAGCTAACGATTTATTTTGTACAATAAAACCAAGAAGTCATATTTCCATAGCTACAGAATCTCATACAAATATGTTTTGGTATATTTACACATTCAAAATGCTGATACAATCGAATCAAACGGCTTTATATTCTTCCAAAATAAGGCACAAAGAGGACTACGAACTTTGGGCCTCATTCCCCTAACCTAATTTCCATGTAAATCGCATTCAATTTAATGCGTAAAATTGACACAAAACTAATTTTTCCGAAAGATTCACAGAAGTTTGTTTTGCACGTTTTTGAACACATTCTCTACATTGTGCTTATTCGAAACTTTTTGGGTGCTGCTGTATCTCCTGATCGACCAAGAAAGATGCTATAGATCAGTAAAGAATTTCATTGTGGCCATAAAAAAAAACCCAATCAAATCTACTTTGACTAGTCTGTTCGGTCTTCCGAAAATTCTCTCTCTCTGTCATTAAATTTCTCCATTTCTTCTGGAGGCAGGATACGCTGGCTGCTGTGATTCTCATGGCACGCAACACGATTTCAGAATTCCTAGAATTCTTCCATGTTAAAGCATTAAAGCAAATAGAAAGCAAGAGGGTAATGAGCAAATTAAAAGTGGACAAAAATGGCTCAATGGCATTTCCATAATTACGATTACGATATGCATAAAAAAGTACAAAAGACAATTTTTAAACCAAAAAAATACAATTAAATGATAAGCGATAGCATTCAGATATTGTAATACACATGAAACATAAAAGGGTGGCAAGAGCATACCGTACTAAAGACATTACGGTTTCGTTTTTAGTCCTTGAATGGAAAAAGTGTTGTGTAGAAGAAAAAGTGGCCTATTTCTTGGGACTATCAATTTTCAGATCCATTTTTTAAAATCCAAAATTGCCTTGGGCAACTTTACAACTTGCAGTAGGTGGAGCTTCAGGGAAGTTCTGGGACAATTTTGCGGTCAACAAATCAATGATTTGTTCTGACAGTCCAATGGTGCCACAGAGGCCATCAGTAGAGTATTAATTTCTTTAAAGAAACTGATGTCTTAAACATGGGGTACATTGATAACAGGTCTACGCATGGTCAATTTCACCTTCTCAAGTGCATAATTGGCTAAATAAAAGGGTCTGGCTGAGGCTGTTGCTCTCTCTAATGAGACAGACTTTCCCTTTTTGAAACAAAACTTACCCCAATAAATAGCATCTTGTGTGCACTAGGAATTTAGTTCCTCAGAATCTCGTCCCCGCAATTAAAAGGTTCCACCGTTGCTTCTCCATACTTCATAAATGAACTCTAGGTTACCTCGCACACACAAACACACTTGCTCACACACCTCTCCTTCCTCCCCTATCTCTACCCGCTATCTCAAGTCTTTTTTCTTGCCAGAATGGAAAAACAAAACAATATCTATCAGGGATGAAAGAACATGCTTTAAAAAAAATAAAAATAAAACATTTCTTTCTGCTACGGCACATTTCTCATCAGAGAGGGTGTGAACAAGTGAAGAAGTAGATAAGTGTGA